TCATTGTCAAAAGTGCAGCCTTCAAACAAATGAATTAACTAAAAAATTACGAGTACTTTCATTATGTAATACAAAAATTTCAAGTTGGCAATCTATCGAAAATTAACTTTCTCTTAAACAATTAGAAGAACTTAAATTAATTAATATACCTTTACTTAAAGGTTTAAAATAATTTTTTAAATAAAAATAATTTTTTTTCAAAGATTATTCAATTGAAGAACGTTTACATTTAGTTATTGGTAGACTTAGAAATTTAAAAATACTTAATGGTTCTCATATTGGTAAAAAAATAAAATAAAGATTATAATTTAAAATTTTAATTTAAAGGATACTCGTCAACATAAAAGAATCTGAACGTTTTTATTCAAACTCTGACAAAAAACCTTCAATATATTCGGAATTAATTGAAAAACATGGAATGTTAGAACAAAAATTGATTTAACACCTAAACGTTATGCAAAAGTTGTAATTCATTGTGAGGAATGTGAATGGGTAATAGGATCAGGCTCGTAACCAGGGGAATGCCCCCAACCCCCCAGAATTGGGAGAAAGGAAATATTTCGCGAGGGGATTGAGCAAGATCGAAATTTTAAAAATTTTCGCATACGGCGCTAAAAAGGGAAGAAATCTGACCTACGGCCTTCCTAGATTTTCAAAATTTTCGATTGCGGCGTTAAAAATCGTAATTTTTTGCGCATTGGAAAATTTGCCGCCGAGAATGATCCCCCCCCCCCCCTCTGCCCAAAAAAATCTTGGTTACGGGCCTGCTAAGTACGAAGATTTTGTATTCATTCACATTCTAATGAATCTACTTTATTTTTTACAAATAATGATATTAAACTAAAAGTCAGAATCATTAATTCTACCTCACCCACCATTACCATTTTCCTGTTTGTTTTCTTTTAACATGAAGAATTAATATCTTATTGCTTAAGTTTCAGAATTTAATTAGACTAAAAAACTAATATGTATAATAAAGGCAAAATTTTCACAAAACAAACAGATGAAAACCATAATTATTACCCCCAAATTTTGGCTCTACTCCAGTTTATGCGTCCAATCGACTTTTATGCGTCCAATGAAAGTTTATGCGTCCAATAAAAAGAAAATGGATTTTTCTTTGTATTGCAAAGTTTGGGTACGGTTCCAAAACATTTGTTTATGTTCGAGACCTACGCCCACTGGGTTTGGGACCATTCCTTACCCTATCCACCGAAATTAACTAAAGTTAAAATCGTTTTTCTGAAATTATTAAAAATTGGCTGTAACTTTCAGAAATTTCGAGGGATAGGGTAAGAAATTGTCCCATCCCAGTGGACCGAGGTCCCGAACATAAACAAATGTTTTGGAACCTTACCCAAACTTTGCAATACAATGAAAAAACCAATTTTCTTTTGATTGGACGCATAAACTTTAATTGGACGCATAAAAGTCGATTGGACGCATAAACTGGAGTAGAGCCCAAATTTTTACCTGCGACGAATATAATTCCCCTTAAATATGGGTAGAATCGATGAAAACGTTTCATTCTGCCTTCGTTTAATTGTTAAGATAACCAATATTTTTTATTTACTATTCAAGAAATATACAGGGTGCGGCAATTTTTCCGCCACTTTTGTTTTGGCCATATCTGGCTTCAAACTTAACAAAAATTCGTAATTCTTTTTTTATTTTAACCCCAAGACTTTGAGAAATTTTTTGATACCAAACAATGGAAATGTAGTTCAAAGACGCTTCTAATAAACGCCTCGAAACATCCAAACGCGTCAAAAAAACATTTTTAATCCCAAAGTTTAATTAATCATAACTTTGTTCAAAATCATCAAATCCAAAAGATTTTGGTACCAATCGACTCATCTCATTCAGGCGCATCGAAATAGCTTGTAATTTCATTTTTGAAAATTTTACTCAAAAAATTTATATTTGCCAAAATAATTTTAATTTATCATTCAGAACTGCATATCTCGGTTTATTTTTGTCAAAGCCGCTTGATTTTTATGTCATTCGAATTGGATTGCAGAGCTGATTCGTATGATATGAAGATTTCCCATATCGAAATCTTAGTCTTGAATCTAGGCCAATTTTTACTGAAAAAATCTTGCTCAAACTTTGAGAAAAAATTTAGTGGACTAAATTATAGAATTTTAAGGATATTTTAGTATCAAAAAATTTCTCAAAGTCTTGGGGTTAAAATAAAAAAAGAATAACGAATTTTTGTTAAGATTGAAGCCAGATATGGCCAAAACAAAAGTGGCGGAAAAATTGCCGCACCCTGTATAATTTCTTAAATTAATTTTTTTCAAGATAAGGTTTTAATTTTCTAAAAAATATTAAATTATTAAAAATGTATTTTAATCCAACGTCGAATAATTCGATGCAAATTAGACCAAACTTGCAAAATCAACAAAATAACAATCAAATGAATAATATTGGTAATTATATAAACATTTTTTTAATTAATTAAATAAATATTATACGAATGATTTTGAAAATTCTTTTTCGGAGGTTTCTAACAATAAGTCAGAATTATTTTTAAAATTTACTAAAAATTTCCATTAGATAGTCCAAACAGTTCTATTTTTACTCGACATTTAAATATTTAGGTCAAAATCAAAATTTTCCTCAATTTATCCCACAACCTCTACAACAACCTCAAATTTCACAGCCTTATGGCTACAATAATTTCTCAGCTATTCAACAACCTTTAAATAATAATTTTCAACTAAATATCCAAACAAAACCAAATAATTTAACAAATTCTTGTAATAATGAGCAGTGCTTCGAAGCTCGTACCAAAATTCGTACTCGTACCTCGTACTCGTACTCGTACCTGGTACGAAGTACGAGTACGAGCAAAAATTTTGGACAGGTACGAAGTACGAGTACGAGTACGAGGCCAAAAAAAGTGAAAAGTACGAGGTACGAGGCCTAAGTACGAGCTCGTACTTCTCGTACTTGGTGTTAATACGAAAATCGAAAAAATATGTTTAATTTTATTCAATAGTCCTTGTATGAGCGAGTGGCCGAGTGGTTAGGGTGTTAGGCTTCACCAAAGATGTTAGTGATTTAGAGGTGGGTTTGATTCCTGTTCGGACGACAATGATTTTTCATATTTTTCTTTCTTTAAATAACATATTTTATATGTTTAATTTTGTTTTAAAAATTATTCCATTTTTACATGGAGTAATTATGAGATTTTGACCTTCTAAAATTCTTAAAATATTTTTACTTTGACCTCTAAAAAGTGAATTCTTTTTGCCTACGGCCTTCCGAAATTTTCAAAATTCGCCTGCGGCGCAGAAAAATGCAAGAAATCTGGCTTCATGGCCTTCAAAATTTTTGAAAATTTTCGCCTGCGGCGCAAAAAACGGAAGAAATCTGACTTAAGGATATCCAAAATTCTCAAAAATTTCGCCTGCGGGCAGAAAATGGATTATATTGGAGGATTTATGGCTTTAAAGCCTTCAAAGATTCAAAAATTATCGCGTACAACGCTTAAAATTTGAACTAGATGTCCTAGACTCCAAAAAATCATAAAAATTTTAGATTTTTTGATTTTTTCTTAAGTACGAGTAAGTACGAGGTACGAGTACGAGGTACGAGGCCTAAAATAGGGGTGGTACGAGGTACGAGTACGAGTACGAGCAAAAAAATGGGGGTGGTACGAGGTACGAGTACGAGTACGAGGCCAAAAAAAGAGGTGGTACGAAGTACGAGTACGAGTACGAGCAAATTTGAAATTTCGAAGCACTGATAATGAGCCTCAAAAAGTTGAAAATTATGAAAATCTAAATATTCCAAAAAATGGATGGATTGTTGATAATTTAAGTTTTACGGTAATTAATATGGGGGAATTAAAAATTTATTTTAATTTATTTTTGAGATTGAAAAAAAGTCTATTGAACTTGTAATTAATTTGGAGGACACGAATATTGGAAAAGTAAATTTTTAATTTATTTTTTTAAAAATTCGTTTTTTCGAATTTATACAGGTTTGAAATCTGAATGAGTTTTAGGGCATTTATTTGGGGGTAATTATTGTTTCGATCTATCGTTGAATGGGGTAATTATGTGAGGGAGGGTAATTAATACAGGTTATACGGTGAGTAAATTGAATTTGTGTTTCCGGAAAGTTTTACAATTTTACAAAATTTCAATTTACAAACAAACAAAATTAGACCTTTCCTCCTTACTAATTTCACAGGTAGATAAGGTAGTTCAAATTTTAGTACTAAAATTATAGTCTCATAATGGTAAGAGAACGGCGGCCCCCTTAAACGGCAGGAATGCCGAAAAATTTTTTTTTTCAATTTAAATTAATTTTTTGGAGTTTTCCTTACAAAAAAGATACTTTCTAAAAATTAATTTAGAATGGAAATAATAATTCGAAAGCTGCAATGGATGCAATTAAATATATTGAAAAATTGCTAGTTGACTGTTCTTCAAAAAAGGGTGATAATAATGAGGAATTATTGGAAGAAAAAATTAAAGAATTAAATTTAAATGATAAAGTAAATTATTTTAAATAAAAATTTAAAAATTAAAAAATTTAATAGAATATTTCCTTACAAATTTTAAAAATGCATAATGACCACGTAGATGAAGTTAAAGAATTAAAAAATGAAATTAAACAAAAAATGGAAGAAAATAATTTTTTGATGAAGAAAGTTGAGGAAGTAAGGGGGAGATACTAATTTAAAATTAAAATTAATTAAATTTTAAAGTTAAATAAATATAAAATTAAATTTTTGGAACAAGAAATAAAAGAAGCAAAAAGAAAACAAAATAATGAAAATAATGATGAATTAATTAAGGAGGTAAATAAAAATAATTCAAAATTACCGTATTTGCTAAAATAATTACATGGGTGCCGTTTTCGAGTCGGGCCTCATTTTTTCGAGTCATTCTTTTCGGGCCAAAATTCAAGACCCGACTCGGTCTTTCGGTCGACCGGGCCGGCAACCCTAATAATTATCCAGGGTAATTATTGAGTTTTTTTAAATGACTAATTATGACTATTTTAGGAGGGGTAATTATTTTTTCGATCTCTGGCTGGAGGGGGTAATTAAAAGGGAAGGGGTAATTATTTGAGAGAGTGACATTATTTCAGAATTTACGGTAAATATTGAATTTAAATTAATTAATTTTTAAATTTAAGGATTTAATCGAATTATTGGAAAATAGTTACTTGGATAATTCAACAGATAAAAAGTTGGTGAATGAGAAAGGAGGAATTTGTGTTGAAATTGATAATAGTTAATTAATAAATTAAATAATTTAAATTAAATTAAATTTTAAGTTAATTCTTTATTCGATATTTATCGTCAAAAAGGGGAAAATGATGAAAAGAAAGCAAAGTTTGTAAAAAAATTTTAAAGAAAAAAAATAAAATAATTATTTTTTATATTTTTAAAGGGAAGATGAATCAAATTCTGAAATTAGTGAATTTGATATTCTCGATAATGAAAATGGAAAAAAGAAGAAGATAATTAATGATGAAATTTATATAGAAGAAGAAGAAGAAAAGGAGTAACTGAAAGGGATAAATAAAAAGAAAGAAAATGGATATTTTTTAAATTTATTTATTTTTGATTTAATTGATAAATAAAATGTAATTTGAAGTATTTTAATTTTAGGCATTTTAAATTTGAGATTTAGTGTTTCTCCTATGTTTTTTCGGTGACATATAATTTCAGCCCATAGGTGAGTCCCGAAGCTAATTTTGGCATCGTTCGACTCAGCTAGGCAAACTCTTTCGAATGACATATTGTTTGTCTAAATCGGTTTCCGGGACATATGACTGAATTTTACCGTAAACTATTCAATCAAACAAGACTTGTACATAGACATGGATTTTGGTATTAGTATCCGGATATATCCATCAAGTAACCTTTCCATCCCAGTTCAATCTTAAATGCATCCTAATTTATGAGGATTTGTACCAAATCCTCGTCCCAAAAATTGTCGAAAACAGAGATATGTTCAGTTGACCACATAAAATAGAATTTAATATAAATAAAAAATAAATTCAATTTTTATATATTAAGTAAAAACAAAAAATTATTTTTACAAAATTTTTACAGCAAATTTAGTTTAAAAAGAATAATCCGGCTTTTCCGGAACCGGTAGTCCGGAATTAGGTTATTTTGATAAAAACTGGATTTTGATCCAGAAAAACCGGATTTTCCGAATCAAAATTAGGCGGGTCGAGTCCTCGACTTAACTACAGCCAAAATTTTTTTTGGAAATCCGGGATAATCAAAAACACATTATAATTAGATAAATTTATGCTATTTATATTAATCATTCCATTAAGTTGAATAAAACTTAATTAAATATAAAAACTTTTCTCAAATATTTATTTAAATATTATTTTATTAAAATTTACTTTTTAAAATCAATATTTTATTTTTATAATTTTGTGTTTTATACATGCACTTGAGTGCCTCTCTTTTATTTATCACGAGGAATAAAGATTTCTCAATAGTCGCCTTTAAATGTTGCCCTCATATAATTAAATTAAATAATACCCCGCCTAACTTGATTGGCTAATTAATTTTTAAAAATCCCTTTTTTGAGAGTAAATACATAATTTCTTAATAAATAATTTAAAAAATAAATTATTTTTTAAAATTTATTATTTATTTTATTTATTTATTAAAGCCCACCAAAGATTTTAAACAAAGGAAAGCCGCGCTTGGAAATTTCGATTCTGTTCGTACCTTTATCACTTCTAGTTTGGCCTCTTATTTTTACGAAATCTCTCTTATATCCCTTAAACCCCTTGATCCCTCTTAATCCCCGATACCCATCAAAATTCACTGATTTCCTCCTTAATCCTTCTGTATCTATTCAAATCGCCCTTAGACACGCTAAATTATTTTTTTAATCTTTTAAACTATTAAGACAATAAGCATATTAATCTCCTTGATTTAAGACTCACAATAAAAAAATTTTTCTAAATTATACACTGAATCTGCACCAAATTTTCGTTTCAGCGCCGCAGGCAAAATTTTTTGAATTTATAGTCTCTAGTAAAATTCTTTTTAATTTTTGGCTTAAAAATACACCAGAGCCAGAAAATAAAAATTAATTTCAACCTCGAGGGGTATTCTCCGAATATTTCAAGTTCTCCGGGTATTTCGAAGTTCTACCCGAGCTCGACTTGGTCGAAACAAGTCGAAAATACTTTCAAATTTAAAGATTTACTCATTGAAAAATAAATGCCCTCTCCATTTGAATAGCCTCTCTAATAGAATGACCTTTTGGAGGATGATTGAAAAATAGAATGGCATGGCCGGCCGTTCTATTGGAGGAAATACGGTAAATCTTCCTTCGTTTGTCAAAACTAAAGAATTTTAAATTTAAAAATAAAATTAATTTAATATAAAAACTTTTCTCAAATATATTTAAATTTATTTAATTTTATTAAAATTTTTTATTTAAAATCAATAAATATTTTATTTTTATAATTTTGTGTTTTAAATATTGCGTGGCACTTGAGTGATTTCTCAATAGTCGGCTTACCCTCTCAATTTTGCCCTTTCATAAATAAATAAATTTTTATAAAATAATATCCCGCCTTACTTGATCGGCTAATTATTTTTAAAATGCCCTTTTTGAGAGTAAATACATTATTTCTTAATAAATAATTTAAAAAATAAATTATTTTTTAAAATTTATTATTTTTTTTATTTATTTATTAGAGCCCGACTAAATGCTAAAATTTAAATATTTAATCAAAGAATTTAATTTTTCTACGTTACATTTCATTAGAAACTAAATAAATATTTATTTCTAATTAATTAAAATTTAAATTAAAATTAGTTGAAATAAAAATTTTTTTATAAATCCAAAAAATATTTTTTTATTAAATAACTAAAAAATTTAAAAAAAATTTTAGATGAAAATAAATTTATTTATTCACATTTATTTATTATTTATTTTAATTTTTTTAAAATTTTGTATTTGCCCACCAAAGAATTTAAACAAAGGAAAGTCTAAACTTGATCCCAAAAAATTTGGTAAATTAATTTTTTTAAAGTGTTTTTCTCATATACCGTACATACATTATTTATTACCCTCCCTTTAATAATTATTCCATATTTTTCCTAAGCTAATTTTGAAAGTATTTATTAAAAATCGTTGATTTTAATAATGGGTATTTTAAAATGTGCAAGGATCAATATAAAAAATAAATCAAGAGAATAAAAGGAATTGGAGAGGGTATAGTGTAATTTTTGAGAATCAAGAGAGATTACGAGGATTTGGGGAGATTTTGAGTGATTAAAAAGAATTTAGTGGGATCTAAGATTATATAACTTAATGCTCCGATATCCCTCCGAATCCCTAATCGAAACGAAAATTTTCGCCCAGCTCTGATTCCCACCCCCGGGCTTCCTGTTGATCCCAACTAATTTAAAAATATCAGATATTTGCAATATTGAGAATGAACAGCTTGAAAATCTTTTTATTCAATTAATTTTTGAAAAAGATTGGGAAATTGAACAAAAAATAAATTTATTTCTTTTTTGTGAAAATATTAAAAAAAATAAAATTAAAATAAAAAATGTGTTAAAAGAAGAAAAGAAAATTGTTGAAAATTTTATTTTTGAGACTGGAAATTATAATGAAAAATTTAAAAATGAGTGGGCAATTTTGGAAGGAAAAAGGGAATATTTAGAAAAAATTGAAAAGAAAATTGAAAAATTTGAATTTTTTGAGAAGAAAAATTTAATTAAAATTGAAAAAATAAATTGGGAATTAATTGTTAATTTAATGGAATTTAAAAAAATATTTGAATTATTTTTTGATGAATTAATTGAAAATAAAATAATATTAAAAAATAATGAAGAAGAAATAATAGAAAATAAAAGATTGGAAATTATTGAAGAAAAATTTAAAAAATATAGAGAAGAAATTCAAGAAATTGAAGGAAGGGAAGGAAAAAATTTAGAAGATAAAGAAGAAAAAATTAAAGAAAAATTGGAAAATATTTATCGTCAATTAGATATTGAATTTTTGTTAGTTGAAAAATTAAAAATAATTATTGATAAATCAAAGGAAGGAGGAGGGGGAATTTTTGTTTCAAAATTAAAAAGTTTACAAGAAAAAAATTTTAAAATAAAATCTGAAAAGGAATTTTTTAAAATCAAAAAAAGAATGAGGGAAGTATTTGGGGAATATTTGTTTAGTGAATTGGAGATTAGATATTCTCTTTTATTTAGACTTGGTTAGTTTAGAGACTTTGGACTTTTGGAAAGTCTAAATAGTAGAGTTTCACCGGAAGTTCCGGTTCCAGAAACCAGAACTTAAATTGGATCCAGCTCCGGTTCAGGTCAAAATTTCGGTTCCGGTGAAACACTACTAAATAGATTCTCGATTCCAAGACAGACAATTCCGAGATCTTATAGAGACGGACAATTTCGAAATCTTTTACTAGAACTACATGTCCTTCTATTTTTCAATCCTTTCGAAAAGTGTGCCTATCAGTGAACGAGCCGACAAAAAAACAAACTCCGCGATCAGGGCTGTGCGTCATGGCGTTTGGCGCGCCCCGCGAAGATTTTTGAGGCACAGCCCAGTCCCAGATTTCGTCAAATATGGATCCCAATCCAAAAAACGTCAGGACTTCCCGATTTTCGGGAATTGGGACGGATCGCTCCTTGGTGTCAGAGAATAATTAAAAACTACGCACAAATAAGACCAATTTAAAGTAAAAATTGTTTACAATTAGTCTAAAATCTTTTCAAAAATTCTCTCATAATATTTTCCTTATTGTAAAAATTTTTAAGATCTTGTTGAGGATTCTGAAAGAATACATCAATATAAAAAATTACTTTCGTCCCCGTTAAATTCGGAGGAATCATTAGAAAGCAAAAGAAATCTAATGATTCGTGCATGTTTTGGAATGTATTTGGATGATTTCAGGAAAAGATTTAACGGTGAAAATGAAATAAGAAAAGCTATTGATAAAATTTGGGCACCCATAAAAAGTAAAGATAAAACAACCAAAGAATATTTAGAAGCTATAAAAACTGCAGATAAAGATACGTTTGATTATATTTATGATGATATGACAAGAAAATTATTTGATGATTTGAGAAAACTGGAAGAAGATGAAAATTTAATCGTTTTAAAACAATTTTTTGATGTAACTCCAGGGGCATTTGGGCGAGCAAATTATTTAACTGTTTCCAAGTCTCTAGATGTTAATAAGCCAAAACACACTTTTGAAGCAGATACTATAAAATATATTTTACCCATGGGTAAGTTTTTAATAACGAATTTATGGATACTTACAAAAAGCTTTGTAAAATTGAAAAGTTATAGTTAAATTTAAAATAATATTTCTGTAAACCGAAATATTATTTCCTCTCTCCAAAATAACAAGTATTCACACAATAAGAATTTGTCCGGAATCTGATAAAGGGTTGGTTCCCGACGGGAGGGAGGGGAAGGGGACCACGGGGAAAGCTTTTCAGGGAGGCAGCGCCACGGGGGGGGGGGGGGGGGGATTCTCAAAAAATTCCT